TTTTTTTTTGCTGTTACAATTATTTTCTACCGGTGTTTACTACCTCATTTTTCTTGAGGTTTTTACTGTATAATCGGTTTCCATAAATACATGGATACTTTTTATGTGACCTATGTAAGTCGTAAGAATTATACATGTCTAGCAAGACAAGAGGCGGTACAGTGTTCTTATTTTATTATGCGTTTTGCATTTTCATGCGAAAGTGATGCATTTTAACGAAGCCTCGGCCACCTATAATGAGTGCTTGTGACCGCTTAATTTGACTTAAAAATTATGAAGCTCAGGAAGCAAAGATCTCGAAATCATAGCACGGCCACATGTCTAGCAGAAGCTAACGCCAACTCGCATTTCTCACCATCGCCTAACTTGAAATTTCAGCGCAAGATTAGGTCGATTGTTATTACTTGAGAATTTCACGCGCTCGTGTGCGAAATTTTTTGCGGAAAAATTGTTATATCGGGGACTAGAAAAGCTGGAAAGTTGAAATTTTAAGGATTTGTTCAGATCCAGCTCCTAAATACGCTTGAGTCTCATGTAGAAGCACGTAGAATTTGCATATGATTTCGTCATTCTCCCCGCTTCACACCTTGCTTATTGCCCATTCAGTGTTTTTAGTAAATGGTCGATAACAGCCAATTTTACACTCCCCTTCATGCAAAATTTACAGTAATCGTGCATGTCGAAGGTTAAGATTTCATGCAGCCCTTGTCGGCTCAACCGGCGGCCTTTTTCTCTACATGGAGGAAAAGAGCAAAACGCTGCGAGTGTATGTGCACATGTTGAACTGTAAAGGAACAACCATTTATACTGTTAAGGATCTGATTGTTTCAAGTTTGGCGCGAAAACTCATGATCGCAGCGGCACGACTGATGCTCTGCTGTCTGGGTAGGGAGGTATGCTGTTGTCCGTTGCTAATGTTTTTGCTCTTAACTGGTATTTGCATATAAAATTTGTGTGTGCATTCTTTTACCAAAGCATTCCGCAGTCTGCTTTTCTCACTGCTTCACTGTGTAAAGCAAACTGTGTTTTACAGTGATATTAAAATTGGATTTTGAAAGCTGATTTCCTGCCACTAATTCAGCATTGTATGAACAACAATTCTGACGAATTTTTCAACCCATTCTGTCTTTTATCTGCACAATTAGTTTGGGATTTGGCCAGAGATCAAGACATCTTGATGTCAAAGAGCTTTCTGAATTTATATGTGCAGTCAACTGCTAGCTCAAAAAGTGGTCTGGATTTTTGACTTTGCATGCGGTTTGAGACGTGGTTTTTAAAATCATGGCTTCCTAGCTTTAAAAGTTTCTGAATTAAGACGTATGTTCAATCAGACAGACAGACACAAACACATGCACACGCACATACATATGCAGTCTCACTTTAATGCATTTTATTGCAATGCCTAAAAAATATCTGGCCATTTTCCGGCTGCGGTTTGCCGCTTGGCCTTTTACGGCAGTTGACCGTTCCGAAAAGGTTCATCCGCTGTCTCTTTGTTGTGCCGCAGTTAGTAAGCCTGGTTCT